AAAACAACGGAATTATTTTATTTTATAGCCACGACAACAACGCCAAGGCAGGCGCAGAATAAGTCTGTCTTTAATTCTGCGAGGCGAAGGCGACCGAATTTATGGATGACTTTGTCTTTGATGTGGTTAACATTTTCCCTCTTTGCTTTTCAAACGAACTGAGCATCACAAAGTACGGTAAAAGAATAAAATAACGCCGCAGAAGACGGCTGCAGCAAACTAGATGCTTTTACTACAAAGCTACAAGTACAACAGCGAATATAAAGTTAAGAAACTCACCGTTTTGGGAGCACGTGCAACTCGTTGTCTTGTTAATTCGTGAAGGCAGAGTGGCCCATTTATAGATGAAATTTGTTCAACAAGTAAGCTTTTATATCGACAAAGAACAGCATAAGTAAGCTAGGTAGTTCACAGATGCACAAATAGTGGAACAGGTCGCTTGAAAAAGCACAAAAAGTAGTTTAAAAGCACTTTATAGAAGACATTTTTAAAGTTTAAAGTTACAAATTTTCGAAGTGTAGAACGATTGTTTACGCTTCGAAAAACAGAGGGAACCGCGTTTGCTCAGAGGAATGGAGCGAGGAAGTGAATTGGAAAATTCTGGGAAATTTTATTGGGTGTTTCCGGTTGGAAAATTTTGGAGATTTACGTAATGATTTTATAATCAATGGAGCTTCAGAATTGAAATTATGACGAATTTGGGCAAAGAAACATAGCTAGTCTGATAATTCGTATAAAAATCTGACAGTTTGTCAACAAGATGTGTTCGCACTGCTTGTTCCCAGTTGTTGACAAGTCTGGAAAAAGTTGTTATCATCTTGTAACAAGGTTGATGGGGCCAACAGACTCGCAACAAGTCGTTGGAACAACTTATAACAAGTCTGTTACAGTCAATCAACCTTGTAAAAAGGTGATACAAGGTCTTTTTTTTATGTTGCCTACTTGAGATAAAAAGTGTTCTGAACCAAAAATCTTTTAAAATCTTTTTGGCGTGCCTCTCAAAATTACTTTGTTTTAGCTTTATTTCATTTGTTTATACAGTTAGCAACCTTTTTAAACGCATTTACTAGTTGTGAAACATAAAATAGTAGGGAAAATTTGTCAATTAAAGTACAATTATCAAAATGACGTCATATTCACAGCAATATAAGCAAAACTCGCTGAACTTCAGACATCATTTTCTCTTTGGCGTACCATCTAAAATCTCTTCATTTTAGCATTATTTTACAAATAAAGCACTGACTGAACATACTTTTTAAGTTTGTTTGCCGATTGAGAAACGTATCGAAAAATAAAAATTTTGAATGTGGTCATAACCTCAAGTTGTATAATAGACAGATTTAGATCGAGGACGCGGACGTCAAAGACGACGTGAAAATGGCGTGTTGTGCCCATGTATGGATATGCCACGCCATTTTGACGCCATTTTCACGTCGTCTTTGACGTTCGCGTCCTCGATCTAAATCTGTCTATTATTTGAGCGCGCAACACACAAAAATCTCCTCGTAACAACTTGTTGCAGACTTGTCACAAGAACTGGGAACAAGCAGTGCGAACACATCCTGATATCGGCTTGACAGCAACGTTTCTGAAGTTTCCAAATACCAACCTAACATGATCATGTTTTGTTTTGGTTTGCTTCAATAAAAGCGAACTGTATTTTTATTGTTATAATCAACCCTCTCTCCTCCGCAGAGGCTTACATGAAGTCGCGCGCTCACTTTTATTCAGCAAACTTCATGTAAGTTATTTGTAAATACTTAAGGAGGCTCTGCGGAGGAGAGAGATAATCAACCAATAACAAAACCTGTTCATACAGGTTGAGTGCACGTCAGATCAGTGTAGCGATCCAATCGAGGAGGGTCTCCCAAGGGCGATCTTGGTTGTTTAGCATTTACATGGAAATTCCGGTGATTCTATACGGAAAGTAAATGAACAAGCATATTTCGACGGCCCAACCGGAACTTTTGCGGAATGAACGGTTTGTTTGAAAAGGTTGTCCTCTCTTACCGATTGGAACGTTTCAACCGGTAAATTTTGTTCCATTTACATCTTTTTTTATTTTTGCACCAGTTCCAGGCTCTTGGTAAACAACCGTTCACTGCCTGTCGGTCAGTCACTCTAAATGGAAAGCGCATAATCCGAATGGGATTTTCTATTCGAAATTTCGCTTACCATTAGCACAATTTCAAACCGGATTGGTTTTCCATGTAAATGGCAAACAACCCTTGTGTCCCGTTTTCCCTTGGAAATTCTCCCTTTGTTCCCTTATTCACATTGCGAAGTACGCCTTGTCCCCTTCTTTCCTAGAAAGCCCCGGACGACCCTCATCGAGAGTAAGTATTTTGTAAAGGAAAAGACATATTATTTTATGAAACTCTGTGGGTTTATATATAACTAGTATGAGGTATAGCTCGATCTTTAGATCAACAAATTTCTTGCATCGGCGCCGAAGTTGTAAGCCAGGCAAATTCTGTGCGCGTGAGAGAAACTATATGTCATTCTCGATGCGACAAAATTTCTGCGCAAGGCAAATTTAGAAAAGCTGGACTTTTTCTGTGCCTGGCGTGCTGGTCTGTATATATAACTGAGGCATGTATTGTGCTTTAAAAAACATACAATAGATTGCGCTGTCCAGTTTGTGTTTCAGATCAGTGGCCTAACGTAGGCCTGGTGCAAGAGATGCATTGTGTATATATTTTGCAATAAATATCGTTGGTTGATGTAACCCTAAAACGCATTAGATAGCAAATATAAAATTATAATCATGCTGTGATTGGTGTAGTTTATTCAGTAAGCGAATAAAGTTTAGATTTAATTTTGGCTAAGAGATTTTGTTGCATAGTTGATTTATAAACTATTATACAATTACTTTATGGTTTCCGTGTTTGGATGGCCTGATCCAAACACGCGGGAATGTTGCGAGAGTTAAGAAAAGCGCGCGAAAACACGAGCCGAAGGCGAGTGATTTTGCGCGCTTTT